TTAGATTTAGCTTGAGGTTGTTTAGGCATGTGGAAACTAACAATGAAGACAATAAAGATGAATACTTGATTCAAAAATACATATATTATTAAATTAACTAAACACATTTTGAACAAAACTAACATTGCTTTTTATTTAAATTAAATAAATAATATTTCACATCAAAAGAAACAACAATGTTTTAACAAATCATATTAAATAATCTGATGACAGAACTGTAAACAGAATAGCTGAAACTTTAACAAACTAATTAACTCAGTTACCTCTAATCATTAACCCATGTTTGTATAATGGAGTTAACTCCGTGTGTTGCTGCTAGCATACATAACACCTGACGTATTTGTCTTTTTGCATATTAGAAACGAGTTGGCGACACTAAGACTGCGATATAATGTTTTTGTAGCAATAATACATGACATATATTTTTTAAATGTCTCCAGTACCGATAAAAAGACCAATAACGTTGGAGCTTAACGGCGCGTAAAACACACGTGATGACGTCACCAACGAATCGACGACTGAATTAGTTGGCAACTAATTTGGTCATCGATTAAGTCGATTCGTTTTTGCACCCCTAAACTATGTTGCTTAGCCCCAGGAAGAACAGCTTGACTTCTTACATTCTTAGTGTAACGTATGCCTTCATTTGACCACAAAAACGTTTTTATTCTAGATATTACATCTTCAGGTTTTGTAGTTTCTTTCCTAACCTCCTCTCCTCCTCTCCTTCAGACGGTGCAGCTGCGTGGCGCCGCCGTCATCAAAGCCCGTAAACTGTCCAGCGCCATGTCCGCCGCCAAGGCCATCTGCGACCACATGAGGGACATCTGGTTCGGCACCAAGGACGTGAGTCGAGCTCAGAGACGGATTTGACCATTCCTGACATGTCTTACACCATGTGGTCTTTCTTCTGGCTTTCTACTCTAGCCTAATTAAAAAACAACATATTATCACAGATGGCCTTTTTTTATTGTATTAGTTTTGAAATAAAGACGGCCATTTCATTCAGATTTTTTCCACGCAAACGATGACATGTATTCTTTGAATTGTGAGAGTGCTTGTTGGATTTGTACTATGACGGGACATAAAAAGTAGTCTCTAAAATAACTATATTGCTTTATTCTTAAGTTGCAAAATAAATCAGGAATATCGCTAAATGTATTCGAAGGTATGAGCATTAAAACATTTCTAAAGATTTCCTATTTAACAGTACCAAATTCCTTTGCTGTTTTTCTGTGGTTTTGTACAACAGGCACCACGGTGTCTGATATGTATGATATATTTGTTGTTGCACGTGTTTGTTGTTGTTGACATGTTGTTAATTCAGACTGCTTCTTGTTTACAGGGTGAGTTCACCTCCATGGGTGTGTACGCCGGTGGAAACTCCTACGGCATCCCAGAGGATCTCATCTACTCCTTCCCCATCGAGATCAAGGTGAGTGAGTCTGTCCGTGGAGATTATAACTTTTGCTTCTTTATTCTCACTCATTTGGTAAATGTAATGAAATGATCATGATTTAGATTCTCTAGAATACCATATGTAAGCAGCGCCACAATACTTAACAACAACATTGCAAATATAACAATATTGTGTCTCCTAAGATTTGGATATTGTCCAAATTGGGATTTTAAAAAACATTTTGATGAATTGTTCAGCCCTGGAATCTCCACCTGCACACATTGAATTAAACCATATGTGAAAATGTACAAAAGCCATTTGAAGTGTTCAAGTTATTAATCCTGTAGCAGCTGAAGAGTCTAAGAGTTCAAAGATGACTTTTCCCATTCAAATGTTCATTAATGGGATTTTTGTTTTGGGGGGATTACGAGGAAGAAGTGAGAGAAACAATATGATGACGGCTACATTTAGAGCCTATCAAAATGGATAAGATAGAACTTTATTGATCCCAATGTGGGAAATGTTTGTGTCGCAGCAGCATCAAAAGACAAGACATTGTACAAAACAAATAAAAAAGATTAGAACTAAACAAGAAAGTAGAAATATACATGTTGAATTTACAAAGCAAATTATTATATATACATAGGTATGTGAGGGATGGAATATTAAACTGAATATTACAGTGTGACACAATAAAAAAGCTTGATGTATCGTATTATACAAGCAGCGGAAAAGTCTCATTAAAAGGTTAATTGATGGGATATTTTTAGGGTGAGATTGTTCATTATTTCTCAATATATTACGAGGAAGAAGTGAGAGAACAATTTGATGACAGCCACAGTTGAAGCCTATTAAAAATGGACAAAATAAAATCGCTTGACGTCTGACCATTCCTTCTGTCGCCCTTACAGAATAAGACCTGGAAGATGGTGGGCGGACTCCCCATCAACGACTTCTCCCGCGCCAAGATGGACGCCACAGCGGCTGAGCTGGTGGAGGAGAGAGACACCGCGATGGACTTTCTGTCCCAGTGACTGACTCCCCCTGCTGGCCAACTGCAGCAACTTCACCTAGACCCCCAGAAGAGTTGCTGCTCGAAGCTCTGAAGAAGAAGAAGAAGAAGAAGAAGAAGAAGAAGAAGAAGCTCTCCACTCTTATTAACCGTCCCAGCTGCCCAGTGTGTGTTTAACAGAGTATGAGTGTGTGTGTGTCACTTGGCCACTTCTTCTCCAGGTTTTCAGAATAAACCTATTTAACAACCACAACCTGGCCGTCTGCACCGAGAGAATGTCTGTGTTAGTAGATGATAACGCACACTAACTGTCCAGATACTTTAATGGATCATGCTGTCAGAAATAAAACCACAAAGAAACTGACCCAACAAAAACATGTGTATGCTTCTTTCATGCTCAGAAGTCTCAGTGGTGCAGGAATGAGTCCTTAAACTCGGAGATGAGTTAGCATTTTAGCACTTCCTGTTTCCCTGTTTCCACTTGCTGGGGTTTTTTAATGGTAAGATTCCTAAAATAGGGTCTTTGGTTAGCACAGCCTTAAAGCTCCTATATCATACTGTTTTTTATCAATATATCATAGGTCTCAGATATATACAGAGCCTGTCTGATTGGCTGAAACACCAAACAGGTCATTGCAGCATCCCATAATCCCCTCTGTTTCAAAAGTACTGATTCTCTGTCTGTTACTTTAGATGAAAATAAGGAGCCCCTCCCCAAGGTGTGGGGTGTGTGTGNTGTGCCGTTGGCAGTCTCGAGGTGTGTGGGGGGGGGGTTACCTTGGTTGCTGATTGGCTAATGGTTACACAAGCCAAAACATCGTTATGACATAAAGTGGCCAAAATCTGATCAGCTCATTTTCAGACAGGTTTTTATGTAAATGGCTCCCGACAAAAAGAGAATCTTTGTTCCTGAAACTTTCAGAGTCTCTTTACACAGAGGGAACACATGTTGATGTAGAAAAGACATAATAGGTGTCCTTTTAAAGAGATTGGCATGTCAGTGTCCAGCTTTTATTTTAATGTTAAAGACGGGTGTTCAACACGGAGGGGTTTCTTCAAAACTGGAGCAGTTGCTCTTTTACTGCCATACCTTTTTGTAAGACCACCAGGTCCTGCAGTAAATAGCTTTCGCCACATGAGGGCAGCATCGGTCCGAACTGCACATCAATAGAAACCCTTTTTAATTATTGATTTATTTTTTAAGCTATCTCTAATGTCTGGGTTTTCAGAACATGTATATTCTCTCCCTATCTGGCAATATGACAATAACATGTTAATTAAAAAAGGACAATTAAAATGTAGGAATATTATTATTTAATATTGCTGTACACCTCAGTGCAAGCAGGTGCAAACCGAAGAAGTTGTATTAAAGTAGTGTACAGTTAAATCAGTTAAATGAATATAAATGGTGGAATATGCAGTGGAATAATTGAGTTAAAATGGGATGCAATTAAAATAAAAAACAACACATTTACAAAATAACACTGACTTTAAATTGAGAAATAGTAGATTAAAACATATATTTAAAAACATGTAATTAAGTCTTAATTTTATTGAAGGGAAATTATTAATTAATTGTAGTATTACTAACAAAGCACTTATATACTAATAAAGGGCTGGTTTATCTAAAGCCAGTTGAGTAGCACTTGAAATGTTTGGCTCTATGAAACCTGATGTACTTATATGATTCTGTTTTCTTCAAGGTTGTATCTTCCTGGTCGAATACACTTATTGTAAGTCGCTTTGGATAAAAGCGTCAGCTAAATGCAATGTCATGTAATGTAATGTAATAAAGTAGTAGTAAAAATAGACCATCATGGAGAGGCGGGAATTGTTTGCGAGTTCCTCTGATTGACGGCCCTTTTCGACCAATCAGCTGTCTTGTTTTTT